GCCATTGGTCAATGTTACGGTGGCAAAAGCTGAAAGGGAGTTGGGGTTAAATCCTAAAGCATTGCTTCCCTTTGGTGCTCAGATTCAAGTCAAACGTCGTCCGTGGGAGTTGCTGGGTCCGGATGGAACAAAGAAAGGTCGGCAATGGGTCGATCGTACGCAGCCCGCGCTTCTTTTGGGTCCATGCGATGACCTACCTGGTGGTTATTGGGTGGAAGCTCAAGGGACTGCAAAAGATCCGGATGAACTGGTGTTATTTCCCTGCGCTACGATTTTTTCCAGTATAAAGGAACCGCCTGGATTGGAGCTGGAAGGGGTGGTAGAAGAACAGGAGCCTTCTCCTCCAGAGCATCGTCTCAAGGGGAAAAAACCGGCGCTTCGATTCGCTGATGAGGAAGGTCCTCCTTTGCCTCCGCCTCGCGATCCTCCAGTTCGCCATCGGTTAAAGGAAAAAAGCCCGGCCTCTTCACTGCGTGGTCATGTGGGCTCCTTGCGCTTGCTTCGCAAGCGGGGGGAGAGTCCGCCCTTAGAAATTTTCGAAGATGACATGCAGGGTCTGGGGGAGCTGGAAGATAATGGCATCATTCGTGAGGCACCACAATCCTGAAGCCAAATTTTCTGCTCTTCAGATCTCGTGCAATGCTCCGGTGTCATTGCATAGGGATAGTCACAATGAAAAACATTGCTGCAATTATGTGTGTGGCTTTGGTGACTATAAAGATGGTCAGCTGTGGGTTGAGGATGAAAAGGTTTTAGAGGAAGGAGCTGAAGTGGTGGAGCAATCCTATGGGAAGAAAGTCTTACCTGGAAAATTGGTGGATGTCCACTGGAACTTCATGTCGTTCTTTCCGAGAAAACTGCATGGCCCTATGCCTTGGAAAGGGAACAGGGTATCCTTGACAGGGTACACACCTGTTTTTATGGAGCGTTTGAGCTACAAGGATAGGTGCTATCTTCTCCAATGCAAGTTTCCTCTTCCGGAACCACAAGCTGAAGAAGGTGAAAAAAGGAAGTGGTTAAAAATGACGTTGAAAGAGACCTCGCTGGGCGACCTTGCAGAGGAAGTCGACTACGCTGTGTTCGAAGCGCATCAATGGGCTCTAGAGGAGCATTTGAGTATTCGACGTCTAATTGCTGAACAGGAATGTTGCATTTTGGACGAGTTCCATGGATCGGCCAATGAGTCGAATGAGGAAAAAGGATCAGAGACTAGAGAATGGCTGGTTAAAGCAAAAAGGGCTGAGGAACAGCTCTCGAAGTTTTTGGTCAAAGCAGCTCAAGTTCAGCAAATGGTACAAGAAAATACCGCGCTTGAGGCAGCAGAGGAGGTTGAGTTCCTGCAAACAAAAACAATCCCTACACAAGAAGCCACGCAAGAGCTGGAAAAGTGGAGGGAATCATTGTCGGACGAGGTGACGTCTTTGGTGAAAGAGTTGGAGGTGGTGGAACCAACCACTCAAGAAAAGCTGGACAAATTGGCGGAAGAGCCTAATGCACCGGTGATTGAGTACGTTCCCAGTCTGGTGGTGTTTACCCGGAAGCAAGGGACAGGGAGGCGACGTGCCCGTATCTGTGCATGTGGAAATTTTATTTCGTCAACGGCAGCTACAGAATATGAAGGGCCAAGGTCCCTCAGTCGTCACTCGCTGCACGCTCCAGGTTTAGATTCAACTACATTCAGGTGTCAGGTGAGGCACGCAGCATATATGGTGTGGATCATCGCTGGCTTAGACATTTCCAAAGCTTTTCTGACGGCGCCGATGAATAGGGCGCAAAGAGAAGGGCGTCTGGTGGTGGTGCAGCCCCCAAGGGCGGCGGTGAAATTGGGTCTTTGCACAAAGGAGGAGCGGTGGATTGTGAGGACGGCCTTGTATGGTTTGGCCGAAAGTCCTGCAGCATGGGTGGAGCGGCGAGACCAACGTCTTCAAGGTATGTCTTGGGTGTCAAAGGATGGACAAGCAATGAGCTTTCAGAGGTCCAATGCAGACCCAAGTCTGTTCCTTATTATGGCACAAGAAAAGCCGGAAGGTGCAAGCAAGTTGGTAGGGACAATGGGTCTTTATGTGGATGATTTTTTGATGGCTGGGACTATGACAGTGCTCCGGGAAGCCTTGGAACAGATCAGGAAGGAGTGGAAAACTTCTGAACCCGAGTTCTGTGGTCCAGGCTGTGGTGATGGATTCCTGAAGTTTTTGGGTGTCCAAATCTGGTATCGAAATGGCAGCTTCTTTCTCAACCAGGAGGACTTCGTGAGAGATTTGCTGAACCGAAGAGGGTATCAGATTGATGAAACTGGAAAAGGTAGTAACCTGCCAATGGTGAAAGAAACTCCAGGTGAAGAAGAGGAGGTAGATATTCCTTCCTTGCGAGCGGCTCAAGGTGCCGTAGGGGAGTTCCTCTGGGTGGCAATCAAAACTCGACCTGATTTGGCTTTCTGCACAAGCCAGTTGTCTTTGTGGACATCCCGAAGGCCGCGATTTGTGGTTAAAAAGGCTGAGGAGGTATTTCGATACCTTGCTGCAACTCCAACGTTAGGCCTGACGTTTGGAGCAATCGCAACATGCGAAAAAGAAAGGAATGAGGTGTTGCGTTATGGGCGAGGCGTCAAGGTGGTGGAGTCCTACGCGGATGCTAGCTTTGCAGCAGGTGAAAACGAAAAGAGCCACTCAGGAGCGGTGGTGGTTTGGGGTGATTGCCCAGTGATGTGGGCAACACAGAGACAATCAACGGTGGCTTTAAGTACTGCTGAAGCTGAATTACATGCGTCCATAGAGGGAGCAACGATGATTCAGTCGTGCACCCCTATAATTGCCGCTTTGGTTGGAACAGGTGAAGAATCGCTGCAAAAAGTGCTGTATACAGATTCGGTTTCGACATGCTCAATCATTCAATATCCGGCTGGAAGCTGGAGGACAAGACACCTGAGAATTCGAGCAGCCGGTGTCAGGTCTCTGGTAGACCGTGGTTATATGGTGATCGCGCACCTTCGCGGTGAGTATATGATCGCTGACCTGTTGACCAAATTGATGAGTGGACAGGTGTATGCAAGGCAAAAGGCACTTTGGGGTCTCCGACTGTTGGTACAAGGGACTGACTTGAAGAGGGCCTCGCTTGCAATGGCGGTCATGATGGTGGCTGCATCTCTGCAAGGGATGGCAACTGGTGGAGAAGAAGTGTCAACTGCTGGTTTCTTTTGCTCAGAAGAAGGGGTGTGCAGGGTCGCCAACACATCTACGGTTATGGTTCTGGCTCAAGGTATTGAAATGCTCGTCAACAATTCAGACCTTGTTGCGTATTTGGTGGCAGCAATTATACTCTGGGAGTTGGCATGGTGCCTCTTTCGGCAGCTGTATAAAAGGCTGTGGGTTAAGAAAGTGGTGGTTATTCCTGCGAGTGCCACTTTGTATACAACAGTGGGTGGGAACTGTATGCACGCAAGCAGTGACTGTGATGTTCTGCGATATTCACAGCCCAGGGCTAAGACGCTTTGTAAGCATTGCCTCAAGGACGGCTGGGTGGTGAATGCCGAGTTCCTTGGTGAGGAACGGGCCGCTGGAACGTGAATTTTTCAAGTGCGAGGTGAAAAAATCCTCAATGGTAAGGGATTCGGCCAATGAGCTGAAGGTTCGTCCTGGATGACGTAAAACCATAATGTGCATTTCAAGCAGCTGGCTGCTGCCTAAATGGCGGCTTTTGGCCAAAGATCTGCACCTCCAATGTGTCCTAGGAAATCCTAGGACAGGGGGAGTGCGGAGCTGCAGCTGGTATTGTAGAAAGGAGTTAGTGTTGGGAGTTGGAAGGGTCAACGTACCCGGAAATCTTTTATGGCTCAAGAACTTGGGCATGCGCCTTGAAGAAAGAAGTGTGTGTTGGTTTTGGTTTGGTGTTGGTTGGTCCAGGGGATCAAGGGCTTCTGTTGGGGTTGACTGTTTTGTTCCCTGTCCTCCTTCGGTTGCCCCCCGTACCCTAAACCCTAAACCCTAAACCCTAAACCCTAAACCCTAAACCCTAAACCCTAAACCCTAAACCCTAACTAAACCCTAAACCCTAAAATTAGGCCTTTTGGCATCGTGCTGCGGGCTTATGAGGCATTAGGTGGGGCCTAGGCAGGTTGTCATCTGAGTCGTTGTTGCCAGGCCTTGCGGCAAGGACAAGCATCCTCAACCGGCCCAAAACAGAGTTACCTAGGTCTCCACAAGAGCCTGCCTTTGCCCAAGTCTACAGAATTAAACTCCTAAACTCAACCCTAAACCCTAAACGCTAAACCCTAAACCCCTAACCCCTAAACCCTAACCAAACCCCTAAATGGCCTGTTCTCACACAAGTTCTGCTCCTGTCTTGGGCACCCTAGCACCACAGGGGAAAAAACCGAATCCAAGGGGAAGCATTGTAGCAGGGGGCCCCTAAACCCTAAACCCTAAACCCTAAACCCTAAACCCTAAACCCTAAACCCCAAAAAACCCTAAAAAACCCTAAACCCTAAACCCTAAACCCTAAACCCAAAATCCTAAACCCTAAACCCTATCTTTAGCACGCCGCAAGCCTTACAACTCAAACCCTAAACCCTACGCCCCTAAACCCTAAGCCCTAATGTGCCCAGAACTCAAACCTGAAACTTGAGCCGCGCCCTGTTTGCATGTTGAATTTGTCAGGGTTTAGGGTTTAGGGTTTAGGGTTTAGGGTTTAGGGCTTAGGGCTTAGGGTTTAGGGTTTAGGGTTTCGGGGCCTCATGGCTTGTCGGAGCCCGGACACTCGGAAACCAGCTTAGGATACCAGAATAGAATGGCACACCATAACACAAAAGCTTAATGCCACGTATTGAAATACAAGACACAAGACAACATGTAGAACACATTCTGTAGAATATTAAACACAAGCCCTGAGGAAAACCATTCCTGTGGAAAGGGCTTTTTCGCATCCTGTTGCGAAGACTTCGTCTGTGTGTGTGTGTGTGTCTCTGCGTGTGTGTGTGTATGTGTGTGTATGCGATTGATGTTGTTCTAGGCGAAGGTTCGGGTGTCGCCCTCGGCCGATGATTGATCATCAGCGTCCATGTCGATCTCCTCCGCGTCACCCAGGAACAGATAGGCGAGCCCACCTACAGTGAACACGGTGGCACCGATGATCCAAACCTTAGTTGTCCAGTACCTAGGGGGAACTAAAGGTTAATCTTTGGGGTTCTAAGGGGATTAGATTACCCCAAAAAAGTTAAAGGTTACCTACTCTACTACTAAGAAACTGTGGCCCACGATCCGGTCGCATTGAGCACTGCGCCAGTGACGACGTTGCCCACGATGCCGGGGATGGTTGCGATGGTGTTCGATACTCCCATCACCTGGCCACAGTACCTTGGTACCCCAGTAACCATCTTGTAATAAAGGCACCCTTTGTTGGGCTGGTGAATTTATAAGGGAACCTTGAAACAAAAAAAGGGGAAAAGGGTACCACTGGGCTACCAAGATACTTGGGGCTCAGGTCAATGATGTTGACCCAGTACCCACTCTGCGCGAACCGACAGAAGAACAGCCCGATCGAGAGCACCGTGATCGCGTGCGTCGTGTCGTGGACCCCACTCAGAATCACCAGGCACACCGCGGGCAGCAGCAGCCCAATGCTGTTCATCAGCTTGCGCACGACACTGCGCTTGCCCCATCGTCGGATCAAATAGTCTGAGAGGACACCACTGACGTAGATACCACAGACAGCACATACATACGGTATCGTCAAAACGTACGGCTTCATGTAGAGATCGGTCTTGAGCACTTTCTGGCAGTATTTGGGCAGCCAGCCCAGCAGGACATACCAGCCGTAGTTCACACACGTGTGCGCAATGAACACTGCGATGAAGGCGCGCTTCTTGAAGCAGACACGCCACGGCCATCGTGTTCCGGCCCCAGTGTGGTTCAGCTGGCGCGTACGCACTAGATACCTTTTCTCTTCCTCAGAGATGAGCGGGTGAGATTCAGGATCCTTGCTGCCGAAGATCAGAAACAGCACCTGCCAGACTGCCGAGAAGATTGCGAAGGTGATGAAAATCCACTTCCAGCTCAAGGCGTGACCAATCACTGGCGACAGTGAAAGCGCCAGGATCATGCCGAGGTCCTGCCCACTGCTCTGTACGTTGACGAGCCGCGTGATCTCGTGCTCGGGGTACCAGCGGCTGGCGAGGTTATGCAGCACAGGCATCGTCATGCCCTCTCCGAGCCCCATCCCTACGCGGCTCGCGATCAGCAGCCCATACACCGGCTCAGTGAAGACGGTGCTGATGTCGAAGATCGTCCACACGAAGACAGCGCACAGGAGCACAATCTTCCCGCCCACCTTGTGCGCCCACCAGCCACCGAAGATCTGAGTGCAGATGTATCCATAGAAGAAGGACGCAAGGATCCAGCCTTGCTTCGAGTCGTTGCCTTTCACCGATGGAAAGTCTAGCACAGCGATGCCGATGTTTGTGCGGTCGGCGTAGCAGACAATCATGGCGCAGGCGAGCTGTGCGGCGATGAGGTAGCGCCAGCGCGGCCCGCGGCAGCACGGCACGTCGCCTTCGCACTCCGGGCGCTGAGCCACCTCTGCCAGCGGCGCGTGCTCATCGAGCTGGACGTGCCCAAGGGTCTCTCCCTTCTCAGGCATAGGTTATTGCCTGATTGAAAAACAGGCTTAAGTCTCCATGCCCGGATATCGGAGCTGAACAAAAAAAAGTGTTGATGGCTTGCTCGATCCAGCAGGAGCATGGTTGCTTGTGGCATCGAGGTGGGTCCTTTATCCTGCCGGGCCCCACTTCGACACTTCGAGCGTACAGGGGTTCTACCGAGATGAGGCCTTTTGCACTCAGAGCTATGAATCTGGGTCCTGCGAAGCAAAACACGATGATGCCCACAGATCGCGGGATGTTCCTGGGCTTGGAGGGTTTAGGGTTTAGGGTGTAGGGTTTAGGGTTTCGGGTTTAGGGTTTAGGGGTTAGGGTTTAGGGTTTAGGGTTTAGGGTTCAGGGCATAGGGCAGGAGAGAAGGTGGGAGGGGGTATCCGTTTGCTCGAAAGGTTTGCCTGCAGGTACGTGCAGGCTTTTGGTGTTAGCTAGCTGCGCCAGAACCTTGCGAGCCTTTCCGGCAGAGATGGCCTAAAGCGAAACCAGACTCACAGTATCTCTCAGTCACTCATTGCATGGGGTGTAGGGCTCTTTTGATTTACATCTTAAGACTTCTATCCTCAGGCATAGAATAGAGTGCCGCAGCTGCTGGTACCACCAGGAGTTCTGGAGAGCCAGCCTTCAGGGTACGGAACCTGGATTCTAATCACCTGCTGCTCGAGTCAACAACCCCTAAACCCCTAAACCCCTAGACCCCTAAACCCTTTACCCTAAACCCTAAACCCTAAACCCTAAACCCTAAACCCTAAACCCCTAAACCCCTAAACCCTAAACCCTAAACCCTAAACCCTGAAGCCCAAACCCCAATCGAATGTACCCAAGGGATCCGAACTCGCACGAAGGTTGTAGCCCTACATTTAAGGGGTGTAAGGAGGGACCCCTTACCCCTATATAACCCCTATATATATATATATATATATCTCTATATATATATATCTTTTATAGTCCCTACAGACCTAGGTAGCCGCTAAGTGGCCCCTGAATGGGTCCCTCCTTTCGTCCCTTGATGCAAGGTTTTTCCCTCAGCCGGCCTTTCAAGAGGGTCACCGAATCTTAGGTGTCCGAAGTAGCGTAGAAGTCCCGCCTTGACCCCTAAACCCTAAACCCTAAACCCTAAACCCTAAACCCGAAACCCTAAACCCGAAACCCTCAACCCTAAACCCTAAACCCCGAGGCCGAGCTCCCAAAAAGCACCCTTGCATCCCGGGTGCCGCAGCTGCAGCAGCGCGTCCAGGCCCAGGTGATTGTACGGGTTCGCCTGGCGTCGCACTCTGGAGACTTAGGGTTTAGAGTTTAGGGTTTAGGGTTTAGTGGTTTGGGGTGTTGGATTTTTAGGGCTGAGGGTTGAGGGCTTATGGGGTTCATAGGGTTTGTAGGGGTTCAGGTTCGGGGTTTAGGGCTGAGGGTTTAGGGTTTCTAGGGTTGATAGGGTTCAGGGGGTTTATAGCTGAACGGGTTTATAGGTGTTTTATAGGGTGTATGGGGTCAAGGGTTCTCCCAACGGCAAACGAAACCCTGGAGTAGGAAGGGAATGCTGGGGCCTTAAGAGGCTTCGGGGCTGTAGGAAGGATTGGGTTTGGCTTTGGGCGTTTAGGGCTTGGTAATTCCGCAGCTTGGAGGCTTGCAATACCGAGCAACTAAACCGAACTGAACCCCTCAAAAACATTCACCCGCATATTGTGATTTTGTTTGTGGCAAAGATGTTATATAAATGCTTTGCTTTAGTCGGGTATGTATCAGATTTCATTTCTTCTTCAACCTATATACATGGTATTAAGTTCCTGAAGCCTGAAACGTGCCAAAAAAAAACGAAATTTACATACGCCCCAGGAGCTGCGGATCTCAGCCCTGAGAATTTTCGGGTTTGGGGTTTGGACTTCAGGGTTCAGGGGCTTCTAAGCCCTGAACCCGAACCTTATCAAGCGCACGGTCCAGCGTGCAGGTTAGGGTTTGGGTAGGCTACCTCAGGGGTGTCCAGGGTCGGTTCAGGTTTACGGTTCGAGGGTCTCAGGGTCTAAGGGTCTAAGGGTCTAGGGTCTAGGGTTTAGGGTTTAAGGATTCTATTCACCTGCAGATTAGTAGAAACTACCCTTTAGTTTGTTTATAAATAAAGCTGTAGGTAAAGAGGGTGCCAGGTAGGGCTTCAGGCCCTAAACCCAAAACCCTAAACCCAAAAACCCCAAACCCCAAACCCTAAACCCTAAACCCTGCATAAGCTCAGAGGCACAAGCATGCTGGGGGTCGCACCCATTCCTCCATCGTGAACGCCTGCCCCGAAGCAGGTCATACAGGCAAAGAGTGGGTTTAGGGTTTAGGGTTTAGGGCTAAGAGTTTGGGGTTTAGGGTTTAGGGTTGCAAACAGGATGATACCAACTATGCATGCTGCTGTACTCTACGGCACTGCAGCGGCCACAGATTGCATTTCAAGAGCTGGAAGGATGCCAAAAGGCAACTTGCATCTCTCACGTCGCCAAAGGCTGGTCGGAATTGGACTATGAAGTCTCAAGTCCAGCCGACGGACTATATGAAGTACGGCTTACATTCCTTGTATCCCCAAAAAAGACACCTAATACATACACTCACCCATCTTCAAAAAGGAACCTTATATACACTGTTTCATATAATGCCATCAGCGAAGACTGAAGACAGAAATGACAACCTGGCACAAGATGGCCATGCAACGCCTGCAAGGTCCGGCGTCATGCCCACTTGTCCTAAAGCTACCTGCTGACCCATGGGGTCCGAAAATAAGGGGACCCCGAATATTGTCCCCAAATAGCAGGATTCCCTTATAGGACCCCAAGAAGGCACCACCTAATTTTCGGAAGCCCCCTCATTGGAAAGTGCCACAAGAGCGGGCAATCTGGACTACCCTGACACCCAGCTTCTCAGCCGCGCCGGCGTGGCGGCACATAGGTCGTGCCTGGGTTCAAGAGCTGCACTGGGCTTAGGGGTCAGGGTTTAGGGTTTTAGGGCTTGGGGTTTAGGGTTTAGGGTTGAGGGTTTAGGGTTTGCATCAATCCTAAACCCTAAACCCACTTGCTGCACTGGCAGGAAATTCACATGCATATGAGGACAGCAAACAACCTTGACGATATGTCCAGACTTACCCAAGGGCAAAAACGGGGACCTACACAATGTCCCAGGCCTACAGCCTAAGCCCTAAAACCATAAAACCTGTAGGAGGCTTCTGTAGGAATGCACATGGCCCAATCCTCGCCAGAAACGCAAGTCTGCAACACCCGAAGAAGCTCCGGTTCAGCTTGGTCCAGGCTTTGGGCTTTTGGGGGTTTAGGGTTTAGGGTTTAGGGTTTAGGGTTTAGGGTTTAGGGTTTAGGGTTTAGGGTTTAGGGTTTAGGGTTTAGGGGTTTGGGGTTTGGGGTTTGGGGTTTGGGGTTTAGAGCTTAGTATTTAGGGTTGGGGGCTTGGGGTTGAGGGTTTAGGAATACCATGAGCCGCGGCGCTGTAGACGCCTGTGTGATATTCTTCCACTGGCTGCCGGCAGATTGGGCAGGAGGGTGTCGGAGCTTCGAAGAGCGTGATGGCGCACGTCTTGCACACTGCGGAATGCCCGCAAGGCTCAAGAACCTCCCAGGGCCGCGCGACCAAGTCTGACTAAGCCCTAAGCATGGGTCGTTCAAGTTGTCTACTCCCCAAGTTCTTTGAAGAAATCTTCGCAGTATGTCTGTTTGATGTGGCTTGCAGGTTAAGCGAGCTCTTGCTCTGAGCATCACATAAACCCGCCTGCGAAAAACTGTGTATGAACGAACTATGCTCAAGCTGCTGCCTCCATGAGGCATTGAAACATGTCATGTGATATAAAAAGAAATTATGATACAAGATCATTTAAAAATAGCTTCAATTTATAAGCAATGGCGATTCCGTACAGTTAAGAAGCCCGATGTTTCATCCGAGCAGCTGTCTTGGAAGGCGCATCCATGCAGATCTGGCACCGGCGGTCCTTCTCCAGCTGCATGCTTCTTAGAAGCTCTTGCTGTTGGCCAGGCAGGGCGAGTGCATGGCATGTCTCTCCGCAGCAATGGCTTTCAAAGAACCTCTTGAAGCCGTCGAAGCGCAGGTCACCTTTCCCATACTCGACCTTCTTGTGGCGCGAATGCACTTGGGGGTCGGTAAGCAGAACCGTGTTCCCGTCTACAACTCCCTGGAGGTCCACGACCATAACAGAACCTCTGCTCCTGACGAATGTGTAATGGCTGAAGGCTTGCAGAAGCTCGCTGCATTCCTCGTCGAGTTTCACATAGCCGTTGTTTCCGTTGAACTTGATGAACCTGCCTTCAAGCTGTTGCTCACCAAGGAAATATGCCAGGTCTCTCCGGCACGAGGTGTATTCATACAAGTAACAGGGAACGAACCAAATATCGTGCGAAATGTTAACTTTTCTGCTCTTGGCAACACTCATGAAACTTGTACGCATCTTGATGGCTAAGCTAGTGCACCGGCAGAATGGAAGGATGTCCTCCTTGCAAGCATGTGGCTCCTTGATGAGACGTTTAGCCACCATCTTCAAACCTGCGTTCAACTTGGATGAGTCGTCCATGCGGTACACAACCCGCATGCCTCCGAAGTCCAAGGCCGTGGTGTCGATGCTCACATCACAGCCTGTGCCCTTGATCGCCTCCGCATCCTCCGGCGTCCGCTTGCTGAATCTAGTGGTCTGTTTGAAGCTGTGCTTGATCAACGTGCACTTGCGCGTACCTAGGTTGGCCTTTGGAATTCCTCTGGGAACGGATTCCTAGATCTAATCCTCTTAAACCCACTAAGAGAAAAAAACATAAGGGCCTGCCCTGGTACACTTCTTCATGTCGTCCATGAGGGGATCGAAGGGAATCTGCAAAGCAGCGCTCTTCAAAGGGGCTACTGCCGGTGTTCCCGTGGCCCCTGCTCCAGCATCGCCTTGGCAGGGTTTAGGGTTTAGGGTTTAGGGTTTGGGGTTTGGGGTTTAGGGTTTAGGGTTGTTTGGGGTTTAGGGTTTAGGGGAGAACCGAAGTAGGGGGTTCAAGAGCCTGGCTCCCGAACCTGCAAACCCTAAATCGCAAAGGGTAGTTACATGGTCCTTTGTGTGGGCCCGTAAAACGGTACTTACCCCTCATATACGCCTGATATATCCCAAATAAAGGGCCCATACATCAGAACCCTTTGAAGGACTTGTGACGGAGGTTAGGGACCACAGAAAGGTGACTCCCCCTTAAAACCCTAAGACCCTAAAACCCCGAAGCCCTAAACCCCTAAACCCCTCGCAGGGAGCCGCGGTGACCAAGCCCTAAGCCCAAAGCCCTACATGACGGATCAAGGGTTTAGGGCTGCCGGATATTGAATGGGATAACCCCCATTTGGCCCTTTCAGGCTATTTAACGACACTTCATACCGAACTTCATACCCATCATGGACACAAGTACCTCTCAAGACCCCATATAGAGCCGACCCCAGGAAAGGCTAAAAAGAGCCCCGAAAAACCCAACCAACCCCCTAAAACCCGAAAACATCTTAAACCTTAAACCCTAGAGCCCTAAAACCCTAAAACCCTAATCCCTAAAGCCCTAAAACCCTAGCCCTAAAGCCTACAAACCCTAAAATCCCACAACCCCCCAATTAAGTCCCCAACCTGAGCCAGAGGCCGACGTGACCGTGATGGTTGCCGCGATGGAGGTGAAGGCCTCTCTGAGGGCCTCCACATGGCTCGCCGGCTTAGGGTTTTAGGGGTTTTAGGGGTTTTAGGGGTTTTAGGGGTTTTAGGGGTTTTAGGGGTTTTAGGGGTTTTAGGGGTTTTAGGGGTTTTAGGGGTTTTAGGGGTTTTAGGGGTTTTAGGGGTTCCGGGGTTTAGGGTTTAGGGATACGAGAAAAAGGAAGGTTGCTTCTTCGACCGAGAGTGGCCAGCTGGTCCAAAGAGGCCCGTTGGAAAGTCCCCCGGGTCATCTCTGCCATGTGGCGGAGGTTCCTATGCTGAACTTGGTTCCCTGGCAAAACTTATGAAATTTCAGCTGCTCCTTAGGAATTATAGAGTACCCGAAAAAATGACAAAATCTATGCTGCTTCTTAGGAATTAGAGGACCGCAGAAATGGACAGCTATGCTCAAGTATCCCTCAGGTTCGACCAGTCGTCCGGTTCAGACCCGAAACCGACGGCGTGGACCTCGAAGCTTTGAGCCACCTGTACCTCAACTGCTCTTGGAGGGTTTAGGGTTTAGGGTGAGGATTTAGGGTTTAGGGTTTGGGGGTTTCGGGGTTTCGGGGTTTCGGGGTTTCGGGGTTTCGGGGTTTCGGGGTTTCGGGTTTAGGGGTTTCGGGTTTAGGGCTTTCGGGGTTTAGGGTTAGGGTTTTTGGAGCCCTTGAACCTAAGCCCTAGGCCCTATACCCTGTCAAAAACCATTAGAACTTTCCATAGTCCACGGCTGCTTCTATATAAAAGGAACTCGAGTGCAGGATCACTTGCCAGACCTGTCTAGGTACAGGGCTCGTGTTCAGCAACTGCTTCTCGAAGAGTTGAGGGACAGTGTGCTTCTCATACGGCTTGCCGTCCGACAGCAAGACCACGCGCACATCTTCCCAGAAGTGCTGCGTACCAAGAAGATTGCCTGAGTGGTGCTGTAAAACCATTTGAAAATTGTTTATGAATAGGTTCCCTTAAACGGGAAAACGGAAATTTAAACTATCCCTACGCACTGCCCAGTTGCTGACTGCTCGGAAGGCCGTCAGAAACTTAGTCTCGTGCTTTGGCGCCACCTTGCGGGCCAGGTTCTTCAACTGGTTGTCGGCGGCCTTCTTCGGCAGCCTCGCGAAAACCACCTGGGCCTTGCTATTAAAGATGACCAAGCTGAACACATCCGCCCCCAATCCGTTTGCGTCTTGATGCGCATGCAGGAATGCACGGCAGGAGCTGAACACCGCATCAATGCGGCGAATGCTTGCTGGCAACATCACTTTCGAGCCCTTCTGCATTTGCAAGACTTCAATGTCCTCTGTTCCCATGCTCAGACTGGCATCGACGACCAGCACGACATGCAGCATGTCAGGCTGGACCTTGGATGTCTTGACCGCAATGCTGGTGGCTTGCTTCTTCCTGTCCTGACATTCCGACCCAGCACCCTCCTCTTGGAAGTACTGCGCTTGCGCCGCCATTCTGGATGTGACGGCCGTCATCTCCGTCACGATGTCGTTCAGCTCGTCCTCCGAGACATCGCTGTCATCCGACCACTGGCCAGCTCCATTGCTTCCGGCCTCCTGTACGCAGCAACCCAGCCATCCACGGTGCTTTACGGACAGATGCCTTTTGGGATGTTCTACCTTATACTAATAGCTCCTTTCTAGGGATTGTGATAGGAACTATAACCCCTTTTAAGGACTGTTTGCATAAGGGGGAACATCCCAAGATGCACACAAAGATGTCACAAGGAACTGGCGTTCTATGCTTTTCACTTGGCTCCTCCTCCTGTTCTGCGCGATCCACGATGGCCTTGCAAGGGTTTCGGAGAACACAAACCAAGCCCCTGATGACGGAGTCGCTTCATCCTTGACGACTTTATATTATATGGGGCCTTGATTATGAGAACAGGGTCTTGGGGTGGTGATAGTTGTTTTCTTTATGAGGACCCCGAAAATGGGCAGCCAGCAGCCCGGGACATGCTCGAAGTTCCAAAAAGCACCGATGCGCGAGAGCCGGACTTTGGAAGCTCCCCCCCACCTGGTTGCACTGTCGCAGCATGCTGCAGCTCTCTGCTTCCTACATGATGCGGAGTTTCACTGAGCCAGCACCGGCGGAAGGACTCGACCCGGCTCTTGACGTGTCGCGGTGTCTGCTGAAAGGCAGCGACTAGCTCCTCACATCGCGTGATCTATAGACAAAACTCCATTCTACGCCCCGCAACGAGATGGCTCAAGTGGATCCCTCACACCCCGCGCCGCGGCAACGAGGGCCACCGCGGCCACCGCCAGTGCAAACGAGGCCACCTCGGCTTACTCTTTGTCCTGGGGTTTTAGGGTTTAGGGTTTCTTGAGGGTTCATGGGTAGTTATGTAAGAAGGGTTGGAAGGAAGGTAACCCATATTCTAACCTTAACTAGGGGCCCCACTTAGAACTATCCGTGAAACTTCAAGTAGAGGCGAGAGCTGAGGGCATGTAGTCCAGAAGTCTCCACACACACAGCTATGAACTGGATATTCATGGTAAAAAATATGCGTCCTCATTCGGAGAACTTAACAGCACTTTGTGGTAAGTCAGGGCGAGGGGCGATGGGGGCTGAAGGGTTTCGACGCAGAGCTTGATACAAACTCTTCTTGAACGGAGTTGCTGCATTTGCGGCTGGTCCTATGCCCTACGAGTTGCTTAGGACAGCAGCACTTAAAGTAGCCCAGTAACCATATTACAATAAGGGCACCCTTTTTTGGGTTTGTTCTTTGTAAGTGAACCTTGAACCCGAAAAAGGGTAGAGGGTACCACTGGGCTGCCAAGAGCATGAGGACCAGCCATGCGCTGCGAATCTGAGGCATCGGCCAGGGACAGGTATGAGTAAACCCGCATGGGGATGAACACCATCACAACCTCCGCCGAGTGGGGATAGGGTTTAGGGTTTAGGGTGTAGGGTGTAGGGTGTAGGGTTTAGGGTTTAGGGTTTAGGGTTTAGGGTTTAGGGTTTAGGGTTTAGGGTTTAGGGTTTAGGGTTTAGGGTTTAGGGTTTAGGGTTTAGGGTTTAGGGTTTAGGGTTTAGGGTTTAGGGTTTAGGGTTTAGGGTTTAGGGTTTAGGGTTTAGGGTTTAGGGTTTAGGGTTTAGGGTTAGGGTTTAGGGTTTAGGGTGTAGGGTGTAGGGTGTAGGGTGTAGGGTGTAGGGTGTAGGGTGTAGGGCTTAGGGTTTAGGGCTTAGGGTTAGATGGAGAGATCGGTCCAGGCCGGGAAGTGGCCTAATTGTCCCCTAAACTCATAATCTAGGGTGCGAAGTATTATCCCTCAATTTGGGTCCCTTGCTATATAGCCCTTACAGGGTTTAGGGTTTAGGATTTAGGGTTTAGGGTTTAGGGTTTAGGGTTTCGGGTTTAGGGTTATATACACTACATACAATGGGGGCCCAGACTTCGGATCCCTACAAAACAAGGGTCAGGGACCATGCTAAGGGCCCAGGGGTTCCAACCTTAGACACCCAGACCAGATAAGGCAAGCCTCGGAAGGGGTGGGGGTTTAGGGTTTAGGGTTTAGGGTTTAGGGTTTAGGGTTTAGGGTTTAGGGTTTAGGGTTTAGGGTTTAGGGTTTAGGGTTTAGGGTTTAGGGTTTAGGGTTTAGGGTTTAGGGTTTAGGGTTCAGGGTTCAGGGTTTAGGGTGCCCATTTGCTCCCCGCACCCAATGCCAAAGCTAGCCCACAGCATGTTGTTGTTGCTGCTTTTTTTGGTGGCTGGGGGGGGGGTTCAATGTATTAGGGGACTCTGCGCATGGGATGGTGCGTTTTTGCGCTTGGGGCTCGGAATTCGGCTTCAGGGCAACAGATCGTGGCTTCAGACGAAGGGTTTCGGGTTTAAGGGCCTCTCCGATTGATTGAGGGCTGGCAGGATTCAGGCTACGCGGGGGCTAAGACAGGGGCTGAAACACAAAACCCGCTCCTCACTCCCACAGAAGGCTCCAAAAAGCCTGGAGGCAGAGGACCGAGTTGAGGGTAGGATTGCAAATGATGAGCTCTCCACATCCGCAACGTGTCCAATCTAGAGCCCTGCTTCATTCGAATCTGCATTTTTGGGCAGCTTATAGCCATTGAGGGATTCTAAGGGGGATCATAGGGTTTAGGGTTCAGGGTTTAGGGTTTAGGGTTTAGGGTTTAGGGTTTAGGGTTTAGGGTTTAGGGTTTAGGGTTTAGGGCTACCTTAGGCTCCTTAGCTCGGGCCCCCGGGCCGCGAAAATGCACGAGGCGATCGAGGCCGCACCGGCCCCAACCTCGGGGAAAACCTGAGCTTCATGGCTCGGGGTGCAGGGGGGTTTAGGGTTTAGGGTTTAGGGTTTAGGGTTTGGGGTTTAGGGTTTAGGGTTTAGGGTTTAGGGTTTAGGGTTTAGGGTCTGCTCAACTGTTCCTGGTACCACTGAAGAGAACTGTTCCCTTACTAAGTATGTACATAATATATAAAAACCTGAATAAAGACATAGAAAATACACAAGTCTATCTATGTATAATCTATATTCATAACATATATATATATATATATTATTTGTTTTTGTGCATCCAGCTAGCATTAACAGTTACACCCTCAAGCCTCAACCCTAAGTAGTGCCACTTGCTTGAGGGCTTGTGGGCTGAGGGTCTTTGGGCCGCTATGAAAACCCTAAGCCCTAAACCTCGAAAGCTCAATGAAGGGGCCCCACGATTTAGGGCTTAGGGTTTAGGGCGTAGGGTTTAGAGGTTAGGTTTTTCGGGGCTTAGGGTTTCGGGGTTTGGGGGTTTGGGGGTTAAACCCTAAACCCTAAACCCTAAACCCTAAACCCTAAACCCTAAACCCTAAACCCTAAACCCTAAACCCTAAACCCTAAACCCTAAACGTGAGGGCTTCGGGGCTTCGAGTCGATGGGCTCACGGCTGAGGCCCCCCTTAGGCCCCAAGGCCTGAAGCCCCAAACCCTTAGAGCCAAGGCCCAAGAAACTATTCATTGAACCCGTAATCCCTTAAACCCTTAAAATCCTTAAACCCTTAAACCGTTAAACCCTTAAACCCTGAAACCCTGAAACCCTGAAACCCTGAACCCCTCGATTAGCGATGAACTTTCCGGACGGAAAGGGTGGCTCCTGGAACTTGGCTGCGCGTGGCGCATCAAGCAGTCGCAGCGAAACAACCAACCCTGCGCCCGAACCCTAAACCCGAAACCCGAAACCCTGAACCCCGAAAGCTCTAAACCCTAAACCCTAAACCCTAAACCCTAAACCCTAAACCCTAAACCCTAAACCCTAAACCCTAAACCCTAAACCCTAAACCCTAAACCCTAAACCCTAAACCCTAAACCATCATCGTGCAGCAGCAGACCTTTTCGACAGACGGTGTGGCCTGTGCCTCAAGCAGTCGCACAACCTCCTCGCGGTGGTTGTCCATGGCCTTCCTTAGAGGCGCATGCTTCGTCACATTGGCCCTTGCCTCCAACAGCAAGCGCACGACCTCAACGTGGCCCTTTTGGGATGCGACAGACAGGGGCGACTCGCGGCTTATGTAGAGGTCCGAGTCATCCGAGCTTTCTCCCTCATCGGCATAAAGGCCACGGTCAACCTCAGCTCGTGCTTCCAGAAGCAAGCGGACGACCTCCGCACTGCCGCTGCTCGATGCTTCGTAGAGAGCATAGGTTTTGTAGCCGTCGTCGGCCCTGCCTCTTTTGTTCTCTGCCCTGTGGACGCTCACCCGGGCACTCGCTTCCACGCCAGCCGCCAAGAGCATGCGAACGGTTTCGACGTGGCCCTGCTTAGCTGACTCGTGGAAAGCCTCATCGACATCCATCCACTCGGCCAGGGAGAGCTCGTCATGGACGGGAAGCAACACAAGCTGCACGTCAAAGAGCGAATCCAGCGTGGCAGAGTCATCCAGAACAGCGCCGTTGTGCACCAGCCTTTGCAAAGCCAAAGGTAGTCTCAAAAGCGTTCGTAGACGCTGCTTCAATGTCGCCGCATTGGTTACACCCAACTCCTGCATCTCTTCCGGCCGAAACGCCGCCAACTCCTCTCCCGAAGCGCTCCACACATGCAGCATCTTGCACGCGGAGTCAAGACTAGCAGAGTAGGCTTACATGCACCATACACTCGCGTACTCGAAACGCTCTGCTCGTAACACCTGGCTGCTTCACCCTCGAGGTGCCCAATCCGACCCGATAGTGCTGTGATTGTTTGACCCTGGGCCTAATGCCAGTTCACGGGCGTGCCTGGGCATCATGTTGAAGTCGGATTCATGGTAAGAGGCAGGTCTATGAAAGGTACTTTCAGGTTCATAGGGAATAGTTAGGAAGGGTAATATGCGGTATGACTATGGTTCATACTTATAAAAACCACGAGACATCACTGCCTACATACTTAGAAGTACCATGACCCCATCAGCGCAGGGCTGCTTAGGTCCGTGTCTGCCCCAGGTTTAGGGTTTAGGGTTTAGGGTTTAGGGTTTAGGGTTTAGGGTTTAGGGTTTAGGGTTTAGGGTGTAGGGCAACTGTCCTATGCCTGCTGGGGCGCGGGCGACGGCAACGTTGACGCCATTCATGACCATGAAGGTAACCAAGGCAAACCTCAGAGTCAGCGCCCTGGGTTGAGGGTTTAGGGTTTAGGGTTTAGGGTTTGGAGTATAGGGTTTAGGGTTTCCTCATCTAGGCCTGGAAGGTTCAGTGCCTAGGCTGCAACTGGGAAGTTTTCACACCTGTTTCGTTGTGTTCACCCTTGAGACTCACTCTGTGCCTTTTTTGCCTAGGCCCAGAATTAACCTAGGAATGGACAGGGTGCCCTTTCTGTTTTAAAGGGGGCTTCTGAGGGAGCCTACGTCCTAAGAAAAGGGAATGAGGGCCTACTCTGTGTCCCAGTTGCCCTTGCACGTTTCCGATGCGTCTCAGGCCGGGAGCGAACTGACGCAGGAATTCTCAAGATGTGTAAAGCCTAAACCCTAAACCCTAAACCCTAAACCCTAAGCCCTAAACCCTAAGCCCTAAACCCTAAACCCTAAACCCTAAACCCTAAACCCCAAACCCTAAACCCTAAACCCTCTCTCTTGCAACC